CTGCCTCATATTAAAAAAACACCTCTAATAACAGATTTACACCTAAAATGTAGAAAACCAAACTGAAAAAAAACCCCCAAAACTACAACACATCAATTTTGGGGTGTGGACTAGGATGAAATGTCACAGGATTCTATGTAGTTACAGGTGCGAAATAACCTTCCCGGTGATAGGCTAATTCAAGCATAAATTCCAATTACTGCTAATTTAGGGCAAACATAGGTTCAATTAAATCTCCAAAGTTTTCCGTCACACATTTGGAAAATGTTTTTGAAGTTTTACCATTTCATGTAGAAAACCAAACTGAAAAAAAAAACCCAAAACTACAACACATCAATTTTGGGGTGTGGACTAGGATGAAATGTCACAGGATTCCATGTAGTTACAGGTGCGAAATAAACTTCCCGGTGATAGGCTAATTCAAGCATAAATTCCAATTACTGCTAATTTAGGGCAAACATAGGTTCAATTAAATCTCCAAAGTTTTCCGTCACACATTTGGAAAATGTTTTTGAAGTTTTACCATTTCATTTTTATTCAGAAAGTCATATGTCCCATTTTCTCACAACGTAGGCCTGTTCATCTCCTGCTCGGCTCATTTCACATATGAGGCAGACCATCACTAATTTCCAAAGTTGGTGTGAGGTTGATCACTATACAATTTTTGAAATAGCATACTATAACCATGTAACTGTACACCTTTCATATCACCGTACCTTCTTAACTCTGTTATCCTTCTGTATTTTAACCATGAATATTTACCAAAACCTGACAAAAAATGTAAATTCAAACCCTCTTCTTCGATTCAAGACCAAAAATCCACAAACATGGCCATGCAAAAGGGGACAAAGCTGGGGGGATGGAATGGGGATTTAACACTCTACTGGGCTAAGGAGAGAGAGAAATGAGCTTAACGTTCACTCGGCACAAACCAGGTCAGTCATTTCGTGACAAGCATTTGATGGTTCAATTTTATTTCAATATTTCGCTTGCGCGTGGAAGGAAACCGGAGGCCCCAGATAAAACCCACGAGGTTGGACAGGCGACCCTATTCCTTGTCACGTACTGTACAAGCTGGGAATCGAAACCACGCCACTTAACTCAATGACAGACCTTATGATGCAACGCGCACATAAGCATATACACGAGCTTGATGAATGTTAGGTGGGCAGAACCTGAAATGCCCTAAAACATTCGGGTTACAGACGGCCGTGCCGGAAGTCTGTGAGAGCCGAAGCGGCGGAGCTTACCGTGTAGCCCCCCCCCCCCCCACCACCACCGCCAAAGGGAATTTAGAAAATTTGACGCCCTGAAACGCGTTTCCCTGACGCAAATCGTGATAGCGGGAACAGCTAGCATTAATACGGACGTAAAATATATTCTATTTCTATCTTGTAACATGGACGGGAAATCTTCCTTTGTTCTTTTCGTTGTATAATCAGATTGTTCTCCCTCAAGTAGATTGGATGGAGCTTAACCGTGCATTAACTAGACATGTTCAATGTTATTGCACTCTTTTGCTGGTTTACACTAGTTTTAGTAGAAATCATATAGAGAACTTGTTAACTCATGAAAGCCGTGCTTTAAATATAACTTAACACCTCACTGCCATCACACGCGTAAAAATAAAATAGATATTTGAGTAACTGCCTTGTTGAATAAGTATGCAAATAATAATACATGATATAAAATATATGGTTGGTGTAATTCATTATTTATACATGTTTCACCGGCGCCCTCTTACCAAGATAAATCGTGTAAGACCCCCGCCCCCCCCCCCCCCCCAAGAGAATTTGGAAAATTTGACGGACGCAAACGCGTTTTCCTGCTATTCCAGACCGCGAATACAGCAAGTTCAAAGTGGTCTAATATATAGCCAAATTTAACTGTCGCAAACGCGTTTCCCTGTTATTCCAGCCCGTGAATACAGCAAGTTCAATGTCATCCAATATAGCCCACCTTAAGTGACTTACCTGAATCCCAAATCCCAAACAACCAATCAATTGCTGCTGGGTATGGGGGCCTTGCGCTCCCCAAAAACACTTCCAGTCGGTTTGCAACCGAAATCCCACTTTTTGCCGACCTGGGCCCTGTTTCACAAAAACTTAAAGTAGCTAAGTCCGTAACTCATTATCATCCCAAATCTTCGACATTGAAAACACGATTTTTTTTGCAATTTAAATCAGCATTGGTGTTGTGATCTTACCTGGAAAAGATGGGCTTCTGATATCCAATATTTAAGACAAAATAAACATTTTACTATTGGTAGACGAATCGTGTACCATAATGCGTTTCAGCGCCATTTGTAACAAGGTGCTCAAAGGATGGGGTTAGACATATTCCACAAGTCATGTCAAACGGTGATATCATGTTCTTATTTGGAGAGCATTGCGCAATAAATAATATCGGTGTTGACTGGAATAACCAGACGCTAGAAACTGACTTGCGGTTGAGACTTCTGGCGTATTTCGCCGAACATAACTGATTACAATTCACAGTAAAACGGACACGATTGAATGTAAAACAGTTTATATAAATTCATATTACATTATTATATGTGTTGCGACCCATTTGTGCCAATTTCTAGGTCCAAAATATTAGCGATTTAGCTCCTTTAAACTAAAATCACTAAAATAGATTTGAACTAAAATCACTAAAATAGATTTGAACTAAAATCACTAAAATAGATTTGAACTAAAATCACTAAAATAGATTTTAACTAAAATCAAACTGAAATTTTAAATTTTATGCGTTTCACGAAGATCTATTGTAACTTAAAATGCAATTTTAATAGATTTTAGTTAAAATTGCTTGCGCTCGCGGAGTGCACAATTCCAGTGAGGGCACTTAGGGTGTAAGCATACACGCTTCGAAACTGAAAACTGTTACCAGGTTGAACTAACCGTTACAATACCAACGAGGAGAGTTTCATACGCTGTAACAGTGCCTGCACGTGGCCAGACAGTCGTAGAGAGATGAAATAAATAAGTTTATTGCGTGTTATTTGTTTTGAAATGAATCAGTTGGTTGGCCTTGAACTTGGATGTCGCTTTCGTGACATTGGCATTGTATTTACTCGCAGGTTTCAATGGGAATAATGCGTATCGATAAACTAAATGGCTTGAATTTCGTAGTTTTATGGTATTTTGGATAACAGAAACTATTGAGAAATGGTCACAAACATGTGATATTTCTGACTCAAACGATTAATCTAGACTAAAGTATTGTCGAATTTTAAATAACTTTTAAACTAATACACGAAATAACCAATGTCCCGATGCCTAGTTTTGAAATGTCAGTGTCATGGAGCCTTTCAATAATAATTTGAAAATGTCAAAGTGCCACACTCCTTATTTCACAAAAAAAATACCCTTTGCTCCTATATAAATCATCATAACCCCAAAACCATAATTAATACTTTGATATGGCGTATCTAGTATTATAGGACTGACGGGGTTTCGATTGTCCAGTTGTACGTGACAGGGAGTAGGGTCGCCCGTCTAACCTCGTGTGTTTTCTCCGGTTCCTCCCACTACTAAAGACCCCTACACGAAAGCGAATTATTCAAATAAAATTGAACCATGTGTTACACCCGAAATGACCTAGTGTGTGTCTAGTGGACGTTAAACCCCATATCTCTCTCTCTCTCTCTATCTCTCTCTCATTTTAATCAATTGTAGGCCTACAAAGATATTTTTTACATTAAATATGAAGTGAGTTTAGATTTTTTTTATTAATTATTTGAAAATAGCATAATTTATACTTGAATCATATGGTAATATATAAAATAGTAACAAAGAGTTTTGTTTACTGGGGTTTTGAGGGTTTTTTTGTTCTTGGGGGTTTTAATTTGGGGCGTCATCTAATAGGGACTCGGGACATTTTCTCCCAAATCTTTGGGTGGATTTATTTAATCCCGATTAATGTGTGGTTTTTTTTTGTATGTTTTCCTTCGCCAAGTTTTCGATTTCTTGCCTATGCGGTTAACCCTTTTCATCTTGTAGTTATGGTTTCACCTGCTAATTAGTGTTTAATTGTTATCAATATATTATTATCTCTCATCTCGTCAATCTCTTATAATTATTACTTTGATCTGCTAAATTCAAATAAATTCTAATTGTTTTCAATACATTATGGCTTCGTTCCCCTAATTTTCGATTTCTTGCCTGTGCGGTTAACCCTTTTCATCTTGTAGTTATGGTTTCACCTGCTAATTAGAGTTTAATTGTTAATCTCTTATAATTATTAGTTTGATCTGCTAAATTCAAATAATTTCTAATGGTTATCAATACATTACAATCTTTTAATTTGTTAATCCTTTGTAATTGTTTATCCATATTCTTACTTCTCTCATCTTGTTAATTCTTAATTAATGATTAATCTGTTACAGGGTTCAAATTGTTAACTATATATTGCACCACATTTTTGAAGAACGAACGATGCTATAAATGATTATTTGCTTGATAACGATATCTGTATGTTTATCGAAACGTAGCATGCTAATAAATTCAGAAGTAGTATATCCATATAGGTGTTTTTAATTTGTGAAATCTACCTCTATATGTCTTATAAGGATTATGTTATGCGTTTTGCTTGATATTGATATGCATAATGTTGTTCAGATTGATAAGACAAACAAGAGGAACCCTATCAATGATTTTCAAAGAATTCATATATTTTTTAAAGAGTAATTGGTCTTTATTATGGATAGATTGTGCTTTATATAATTTTATAGGCACACCATTAAGTTCCAGTTGTGCGTATTGAAATATAATTTATGAAACAATTCGACAGGCTGAACCTACAGTGTATTACATGTATTGAGGTTATTATAGTTAATGATGTCTCATTTATTATTGTAGGTGTATGTACATGGTTGTGTCTATATGTTGATATATAATATGTCAATAACCTTGAACCCAGCCCCTATGCCCATGCCATTAACAGCTGATATCATATACACATATATGGCTATCAGTATATGAACATTATGACTCGTAATTATTCATATTTAAAATGACTTTCAGGCGGCAGTCAACGCATAAACCAAACCTCTAACTGTTCGGATGAATTTATTTTAGACTCAATATTATGAAACGGCGCGATAATCCTTTTATAAGATATGCTTTTATAAATATAGTTTACTGGTAGAAGAAGTGACTTTGGACTTTTGTGAAGGTAAGAAATGAAGATAATTTATTAGTGAACTATATAGATACACTCTAAACTAAAGAGATAATGTTTAAACATATGTTAAGTTGACATTTAATATAGTATACAGCATATATATTACTTCAATGGCTACCACGTTATACTCAAATAGTGAAGAATGTATAAGTAGACCCCCTCCCCTCCATGAGATTGAATTTATTATTTACCAATCAAATATTCTAGAACAATTTATTTGCTGGAAAATATACTCGGGTCATGTCTAACAGCAATCAACCAAAACTATTGTAAATGGTACAGCACCACAAATATTAAAACAAAGATGATATCCACACCTCGATACCCATACGATTGACATTTCTGCACTGATTGCTACCTGGTAACTTAAATCCAGTGTTACTTTTATTATCGTCTATCAGTTTTAACCTTCTGATAAACATAGATAATATAGACCCGGGAGTCTTTATGCTGCGGTGAATTTGTTTTTTAAATATCGGGCTTGATATAGCCTGTTGTGACTTTCTCAAATCATTAAATGTGATGTCAAATTTTGTTGTGTGGTGTTTATCTGGTTGACCGTGGACATCATAACATGACTTTGTTTAACAACAAACAATTTTCTAGAGATTTGGTATTTAGTCATAAAAAACTTTGATTGGGCTGTCAATCAAACCTTAATTCCGGAATTAAAAAAAAAAACTATCAAATTTCTGAGAAAATACGTCTGTTAAAAAATTCGACCCTTTTTGTAACCAAGCAGTCTCCCTTAGTTCCTCTATAAACATAGCTACCCGGATGCGCAGTTTAATATCACTCCCCGTTCTCACCCTAACTACTCACAGCAGTGAATTCATTTTACACTCAAGAATCCTAGACCACAGTGAATGCAGTTTGAAATTACTCCCTTCCTACCTGAGTTGAAAATCCAGAAACCGTACTGATTTCATTTTGGATACATGGCATAACTTACATCTAGCTAAGCTCAAGGTCAATTACTTGGCCTGAATAAACATTACCTAACCATACTGGCACATTTTAAACACAATTGATCCTTAGTTTACATGACCTCGTTAATCTAATTTCGCTTACCTTAGCTGACCTCCCAGATCTTATATGTCACCACTTCCAGTATTTCGGAACATGGCTCGACTGATCCCTAGTTCAATCCTTCGTTACCAATGGCCTTTTTTGAACTTACGGACGTTATGTATGTAGCATTTCCTTAAATGACCCTTAATTTACTAATTGCCCCAACTGGCAGTTTTTTGCAAGATTTTCTAACATGATCCCAGTGATTCCTAGTTGATCCCAGTTCCTGTTTTTCTATGTAAATTTTTTTACATGCATCTTGTCATTACTGTTTGTTCTTAATGACCTTTTTGACGTAACTGTCCCCATTTTTTGCTCCATTGATTCCTCGTTGGCCTTTGTCTTTGTTTGGCCCGTGTTTGATCTCCGAGATTCCCCCACCCCCACCTACTAACCTTTTTTTTTTTTTTTTGCAACATTTCTTAATTTACCCCTATTGGCCCATATTTGACCCCGGCCACCTATTGGATCCCAATGACCTATTTGTTGCAACAGTTCCTATCTAGACTCAGTCAAATGTTGACTCCATTGATCTCTAGTTGACGACCCCCATTGACTTTCAGGGTTTCACTTATGCAATATTTCCTTTGTCACCCACATTTAGTTGATCTTTTTGGAACTCACAAATCTAACTTTTGTAAAAATTTCTAACTTGACCCCTAGTTGGCCCCACTGACGTCTAGTTGACCCCACTGACCCCTAGTTGGCCCGAATGACCCCTAGTTGACCCCACTGACCTTACCCAAAAGATTTCATTGACGCAGCATATTTTACTTGACACCTATTTGACCTCGGAGACATTTTTGACCTCACCAAAACATTCAAAACATTTTTTACAACAATTCCTAACTTGACCTAGCTGACCCCACAGTTATTCCTAGTTGATATCAATGTCCTTCTTTGACATTCAGGATTTCATTTATACAATATTTTCTAACTTTACCTCTATTTGACTTTAGTGACCTTTAGTGATCTCACTGACCTCTACTGGAACTTTACCCGGTACCCTACTAGTTGACCCTACTGACCCCTAGTTCACCCCAGTGACCTTTTACAGAATTCCGTTGATACAATATTCCTTAAAAAATTTGTCAACAAACCATTTGATAGTTAATGCTGATCCAAGATGGTTGACATCTGTTTACGTTCGCAACGATGTAAACAAATTCTATTTTTTTACTTCCAACTAAAATTTGGTCAAATTTGGAAGGCTTTTGGGATGGGTATGTCGAAAGTTAATTAATTTTGTTTTGTTTTGGTTTTTTTAAATTCGCTGGAAGACCTACTCGAATTTCTTTGTGTGACAAAGGACGGGTCATTCAAACAATAATACCTCTCCTCCCCCTTTTCCGAAAAGCTTGTAAAAGTAATTTAGACTACAGTTTTTAATGGATATTTTTCAAATTAGTTGTGAAGCATTTAGGCCTGCAGCTAGAATTTCTAGCTTGCTTAGAAACACAATTTCGCAACTCCCATCTAAACAAACAATACATTTTAGAAAGCTTATAACACCAGGAACACAAATCAGAGACTTCCAAGAAAAATCGTCATAATTGTCAAGTAAATGCTATAGTTATACTAACAATTCTGAAGTTGGCATAAATTGAACAAGCGATTGCCATGCAAGATACGCTAACAGTTTGTAAGGGATAGACAGAGAACAAGCTAAAAAAAACCCGATTTTTTTCTATCGATGAATTTCCATTTTACGCTTTCACGACCATTGCTTTGGGGTCTATTCTGTATACCATTGTTTGCTAATGCTGTTTAGTGTTTTTACTAATTTCTAGCAGCCCAGGCCGAATTTGATCAATTTTAAAGTTAGTAATACTGACGTTATTACTTGAATTATTTTATTTACATTCCAGATGACTGACTCGAAGAAAACGAACTCCCCTAAAAGAGTACAGAAAAGCACAGTGGATGATGAATTTCCCGTTCCACCAGATGGTGGTTGGGGTTGGGTTGTAACTTTTAGCTCATTCATGGTCAGCGTTTTAGTCGATGGCGTGTGTTTCAGTTTTGGAATATTTTTTACGAAATTTATGGACTATTTCCAAGAATCTAAAATGAAGACATCTTGGGTTGGATCCGTTTTGAATGGAACTTACTTGGTACTGGGTCAGTATATCTTCTCAATAATTATATCTTCCAAATGCAGTATCCATGTGTAAACCGGAACTCGGATTACCCCCACAAACTCTACTTATTATAGCAAGCATATTTATAATTAAATTATTATTTAAAGATGCATAATGTAAGAGCTGAATCTGCCTGTTTTAGATCTTCCTTGAGGCTTCAAATAGTATATAGATTTTAGACATTTATTCACATGCCAAGCACATAATCAACTCACTAGTATTTCGGATGGCCGTGACTTTTAATGGATTAAAAGACGATCGCTATTTAATAATTTAATCTAAAAATGAATAATCGAGACTTGGTTTATATCGTAGCAGAGTTACTTGACAACCGCGACTATTTAGTTAAAAGTTCAAACACCGATAATTCGCTACTTTTCTTCGAATTACAAGCGTCAAGGGTCCCATTTCGTGCACCTTATATTGAATTTGCAACATCACACTTTGGAACATGGAATAGAATTGAAAGGGGTTTAACTTACGTTTGATTAACGCCATTATGAGAAAATAACATATTTATTTCTATTGTTACGTGCGCAATGCGCCATTCAATGTGTTACTCTTTATCGGATTTCAACTGTCAATGATTGTTTTACGCGCACGACAACTTGTAATAAGTTTCTGATCGCCCATAGGATCATTCGTTTTTATTATCTCATTAAAATATAGGACTTTCTGATTCATGAACAACTGGCCACTTAATCATCTTAATGAGTGCGTCGAGAATTCCAATGTCATTTCTGATTAAAGTTCGCAATTGAGCATGATAAGTTTTCATTACTCATTATCACACATGCCAAGAACTAAAGTTATGACTGAATTTTACCGATTTCCGTTCAGGAATATTGCCCTGGATCACATTAGCTCATAAGATGAGTAAGTCAATTGATTTTCGATAATTACTGTCAGAATTATTGCCCTTGTTTACATTGAAAATTCTGACAATCGGCCCAGCTGATGAAGTTGTCATCTGCTATTTGTAGAATTTTATATGCGTTGTTTACATTTGCAAATTGCCTATGAAATTGTTACGATTTATGGATTACTGCTCATGATCACTTTTAGTGTCATGGTCCACTTATCAGTGAAAGAACAGCAATGCGTTCGTAACTACGAAAACTGGATCGGAAGTCGTGATTTCTACTGGAGAACTGGGGTAGCTAAAATTATATCGAGTTTACGACATATGACGTAACAAGATGGCAGCCAAAATTACAAAGTTGAAAGTTTTGAACGGTAAATTACTATTTTTGTAGTTATATAATATGTTTGTTGTGGATGTGCATATCGATCTGAATACGTGATTTATAGAATTTTACATATTGGGATACATTTTCTGAACAATGACAAAAAACACATTAAACAGAAAACGGGAAAAATTCTATTTTGTACTAACTTGTTGTTGTGCCGTACGGCAGTTCAGGTTTTAGGACGGTACGGTCTATATCAACAGTTTCAGTAACTGTGGTTTAACGCACAATCGGCACAAACTAGGTCTTTTCGGGATTAACGTACTACGTTTCTTTGAAATTTAAAATGTCTACATACCGTAGATATTACCAGTAGGCATATGCTAAGCTAATTGATCGTGAAGCTAATCGACAATAGACTTTATCTAATTTTTCACGGCTTAATGTACGATAAATTGTTCTTAGATTGATTATTTAACATTTAATTAAAAAAAACTAAACCAAAATAGACCAACGGAATATGTAGATGTTTTCTAGCTTGAATTTAATTAGATTTAAAAGATGCCCATCAAAAGATTGACCAATATTTAAGGGTTATACTGGCTTGTTTATGTCGTTTGCATTAGATGCCGAACGATGATAAATTTTCAATTTATCATATCTTTGTAAATACTGAACCGAACTGAAACGTCTTTGGACTGATATTCCTTTTAGCGATTTAAATTTTACAAATGTTGGTTAAAGGTTTTAAGAATCCTTGAAGGGATAATGACAGCCATGTTGTGCACCCGAACACGACAAGTGTGGTATTTACTATTTTCTAATGTGAAACACGATATTTCCAAGCGGTAACGAATACAGCATATGTTTCGTCACCTGAACACACATGTTTATCATTTATTATGTCTTTTTCAGGGCCTATTGTCGGTTCTTTAGTAACAAAATTTGGTTGTAGGAACGTGGCCTTGGTTGGAGCTATAATTGCTGCTACTTCATTCTTTATCAGTTCCTTTTCACCAAACATTGAGGTTCTTACTGTCACCTATGGTCTGATGGGAGGTAATAACTAATTTATTGTCATATAACAGTAGCGGATCGATAATAGTGGAAGAAAGAGAAATGGGGTTTAATGCCTACTCGAAACAAACTAGGTCATTTTGGGACTAACCTATGGTTCAATTTTTATACGTCCACATTCATAATGTGGACGAATATTGCCGTCGCCCCTGTCTGTGTATATATGGGTGTGTTTGTGTCTGTGTGTCGCATACAGGCCACAATTCTTAAGTGATCATCTTGAAACTTTACATACTTATTCCTGATACCCTAGGGATGATCCTTATTGTTTTTGGTGCATGCCCGACCCCAAGGGGCAGAGCCACGCCCATTTCTTGTATTTGTTTGTTTGTCGTCTACAGGCCGCATTTCTTAACGTATCATCTTTAAATTTTGCATACTTATTCTGTTTGGGGTGCATGCCCAACCCCCATGGACAGAGCCACGCCCATTTTCTTTTTGTGTGTCGCATACAGGCCACAATTCTTAATCGATCGTCTCAAAACATTTTTCATATGAATTCCTTATACCCTAAGGATGATCCTTATTGGTTTTGGTGCATGCCCCAACCCACTGGGGCAGTGTCACACCCATTTTTTAAAATTAATATTTTGTTTGTAAATTTGGCAAAACAAACTCAACGCCTAGCCTTTTTGCCTCTTGTCATATTACAGCCATTTTATATTTCGTTCTCCTCATTTTAAAAAGTACGATATCAATCAAAGCAGGAATGTGGACGTATATTGCAGCGTTAGCGATGCTCTTGTATTTCAATAATTCGTTTCCGCGTAGGGTTCTTTTGTAGTGGAAGGAAAACGGAGAAAACCTACGAGGTTTCACAGCCGACCCTTTGACAGCACGAGCTGGAAATCGAGACTACGTCACTTGAACTTATGATAAAAATCGCACGCGTTAGATCACTAAACCAACCAACACCAAGGATCGGTAACAATCGGACTATTTATTATAACAAGTAGTATGTATTAAAAATTATAAATTACGTTGTGTAGGAATCGGTAATTTTTTACCGCTTTGTTACATTACAGGTACTGGGCTTGGTTTCATGTATCTTCCAGCAATTGTTATGGTTGGATATTATTTCGAAAAACGAAGAGCTTTAGCAACTGGTATAGCCTGTTGTGGTTCAGGAATTGGAGCGTTTGTGTTTGCTCCCCTTTGTGAATTTCTTTTAGAAGAATATAACTGGCAAGGTGCCACGTGGATATTGTCAGCTATTGTGTTAAATGGTTTAATATTTAGCGCGTTTTACCGACCGGTTAGTAATCTAAACAAGGACGTTTTGGAGCGAAAGGGAGTTAACTCGGAAAACACTTGCGATACTGATGAATTTTATCTCGTTAACGCAAAGTGTTTTCCTGTGATGAATCCCGATGCGGAATCACTTAAAGCATGCAGAATGCACCCCTGGGAACTAACAAATAGCCCTGTGTATAGATGTAAGTCAGTAGATATTCCAACAATTAATACAAAAATCGCTAATAACGATAGCGATCGCTTAAATATGGAAATAAGTCGAATGGCACACAGTCACCATGACATTGCCGATAAAAAAGTGAAATTGGAATATTACAATCCACTGCAGAGAAAGGATATATTTTACAGTGGTAGTATATCTAACTTGAAAATGCACCAAAATGTTAAATTATCACAGAATTATATTAACAAATTAAATGAAGAACAATCCAAAGGCAGGCTTTCAAATGAAAGCGAAGGTGGTGATCGTGGAACGTGTGGGTTTCTTAAAAAACACGTCGACTTATCTCTACTATCAAGTCCCAAATTTTTAGTGTATGGTACTTCATGTTTTTTATGTATGGCAGGTGAGACCCTTTGTTATAACCTAACTCATACCTTTCTCTCATAAGCAATAGTGTGACATCGCCATTAAAGTGTAATGGTTCATTTGACTTCAGTAGCGGATCTAGATGGGGGGGGGGGGGCAAATCTAGGGGCAGAATCTCGAGATCTGCTTGCCAGTTCTGTTTGTTTTGTGAGAGTGGACAGAACATTTGTACAGTCTGTCGCCCCACGACCCACGTACTAGTGGTACTACTAACTGGGCACTTCACTATATAACCGTTAATATGATAGTGATGAGAAATAAAGATCACAAAGGAGTAGAAGAATGGTGACATAATGGAATCGAACGCACTCACCTTTGAATCCGCGCCAGTTTGACTCATTTGAGCAAGAAAGCCACCCCATACAATACCATAAAATTCCGTGAAAATGACGTTCCCATATATAGGTAAAGCCTACAAAACGTGTCAAATTACAGCTCATTAATAGTATTTTCTTTAATTTTTTCAGGTTTTTTTGTTCCTTTTATGTATATACCACCCCTAGCACAAGATCTAGGTATATCAGCCCAGAAGGCCGCCTTCCTTATATCAATCATTGGTATTGTAAATACAGTAGGGCGTGTGCTAACTGGTTATATATCCGATCAAGTCTGGGCTGATTGTCTTCTAATAAATAACATAGCCCTTATTATAGGTGGAATTGCTACCATTCTAGTGCCTTTTTATACTAATTTTGGTATTCTTGCTGCGTATTGCTGTGTATTTGGTTTGAGTATAGGTGAGTACCATACATTCATAAGTTGTCGTCGTGATTCTCTTACAAATTCTACTGAACGTCTGTTTCGTGAAGGAGATCTTATTCCCGACCTTTTACATGTTAGTCAAGGGTTTAATGCATTCATGCAAGGGAATATAGTAAAGTAATATGAGTTTCTGGTTTACTGCTGAAATGCCTTAAGAGTGCGCCATCACGACTTCTCTCCACACAAGGGGTGGATTTTGACTAAGAGTTAGGACCAACTGTACTTAAAGTAGCTAAGTCTGTAACTCAGTATCATCCAAAGTCCGCGACATTGAAAACACAAATTATTGGTCAGTTTAAATCAACATTGATGTTGTGATCTTATCGTGTACCATAATGCGTTTCAGCACCGTTTGTAACAAGGAACTTGAAGAACGAGGCTAGTTATTTCCACAAGTCATGGCAAAGCAGTGACGGCATATTCTTATCTGGAGAGCATGCACAATAAATACTTTCAGTGTAGGCTGGAATAACCAGACGCTAGAAATTGCCATTCGAATGAGATTCTGGCGTATTTCGCCGAACACAATTGATTAGAAATTACAGTAAAAACAGAAACGATTGAATGTAAATCGGTTTATATACATTCATATTACATTATTATAGTATTATTCGTGTCCCAAATATTAGCGATTGAGCTCCTTTAATAAGTACTGATATTTAACATAATGGCAATGTTTTACATGTGATACAAATGGTTAAATATTCCAACTATAATTTAATCCAAAAATCCTTCCCGTAGCCACGGTGGCTAAGTGGGTAAGACGCTGGCTCGCTAGTCTGGATGTCGCGTGTTCGATCACTGCTGTTTAGTCATTCGCATGAGACGAAAAACCGAGGTCCCGTGTATATATTGGCATGCCCGTGTATATATTGGCATGCATGTAAAAGACCCCTCATAGTACACTGCATGGCGTATGCCCGTCTTCATTAGCCCAGTCGGATCAAAACAGTAGGACGTTAAACTCCATTTCATTTCATTTCCATTTCCAAATAAACTTGCCTTACTTGATCCGTAATAACGATTTGAACAACTAACATACGACATTCAGCTCACTGATAATTTATGTGAAGACGAAGATATTATAAGATGAACTGCAGACTAGGGCCGTACATATAGATTTTACTTGGAGGGGTGTTTTGTAAAAATGAAATTACTGTTGCACAGACCCCTATTACGAGTGACGCTGCCACGAGCAGAGCACCACAGATGTGAGATTTCTAAGTAGGGGTGGGGGAGGGGGTCCTTGGGAATCTAGACTCTCTGAAATGCCATTTTCTGGACTTTGGGGGAAGATGTTGCAGAATTCTAATAGTCAGAAAACACATGAGTAAAACCGAGTACTACGCATGGGAATTCGTGTTATTTATTAGGAATTTTGCAAGAAAGTACAAAGTACTGTGAATCTGTGACAACTTATGAAAGTGATAATAAAGACATCATTTACACGGACCTATATCTTCGATATATTGTTGTGGTGAATATACATAAATTAGCAAAGGTATGACTATATCCTCATATTTTCATCAAGCGTTCGCACTTAGTCAAGTCTGACCACTGATCAGCGATTTTGTCAAGATCGATCGTTCTATGAATCCTCTGGAAAATTCTGATGTCCGTGAGGTTTATGCTGATTTATGCTGTCCGCGAGGTTTATGCTGAATATTTCTGGCAATGTGATTGAAGTGGGCATAACTCTTTGGTAACAAAAGTGTATTGTGTACACGTGTTTGAATATTCAAACCTGGGGGAGGGGAGGGGTGGGCTGCTGTTGTTTTCAATTTGTCAATCCATAATGTTTCTCTTGTTAGCCTAAACGTTTAATTCCTTCTGGAGTTTCAAAGTCGCTCTTGGTCTTTTCTGTTGGCGTGACAACGAGATCAGAAATGTCATGATTTGGTTGTTTGAAGTGATTTCAGACCAGTTTGTCTGTTTTGGTGACTATGTCTGATCGGTGACCGTTAATTCTCCCCGAAGTGCATTTTCGGTCTCTCCTACCTATTGTTTGTCACATTGTCTGTCTACATGAAATTAGATAAATTATGTTTGAACTGCTGCATGAAAGTTGGTCTAATATTGGGAATTTTGTGCCAGATGTTTTGTAATGGAACTGGTCGGATATGTTAATGATTTTGCATGTTTAATATCTGGGATGGTCACAAGTTTTGGTTTTAAATGCTAATTGCATATTGTTTGCTTCTTTTACGCGTCGGAGATAGCGTTTGGAGTATCTCCTTTCTCTTAGGTTGCTAAATACCGGCGTACATGCTGACTCAAAGTCGGCCGTCTGAGTACATATCTTATGGAAACGGAGAATATGAGATTTTATTTTATGATCAGTAGTGGAATACCGCGTTTTATCAGTGAAAATATAAGTTTTCTTGCTTCTCGATGAAATAAAATATGTTATTCACTCTAAAACGACAAATATCCTCTATTTATGATGCCAGAGAAGATATGTTTTTGGTGAAAGGAGCTTTTGAACAGTAATTGATATGTGTCGGTTTCTTTGAAAAATACTTCAGTTTTTGATGTTGTTACTTTTAAAAATGGTGGTGTCAAGGAAATCTATGCTGTTATGACTATGAAAACGTCATCTAGAAAACGTCCATAGAAATCTGGTTTAATGGGCAGAGTGGCAGAACTTCCCTTTCCCACTCCGCCATGAAGAGATTTGCAATCGCAGTTCCGGAAGACTGGAAGTATACTTGGTCGTTGAAGATGAAGTCATGCCTCCACTGACAGATGTCGAGTAATTTGAGGATTTCTTCGTCCGGTCTGGATGCTTGCACGTTCCTAAGAAATGCTTCCATAACTGCTTCAACTCTTGTGTTATTATCGATGTTCGTGTACATGCTCTGTACGTCGATAGATATAAAGATGGTACGCTCAGGTAGGAAGCGTGTTGGCATGCTAGGGGTAATGGTCTATATATTGTGATACGTTTTATGATTGCCTGAAAATGGGGTCTATTGATATTATCGTGGGGTTGGAATAAACTTAAGGCTTTTATCAAGTATGCTAAGTTTTAGAAGGCTGAGAAGTCTGTCGCTCAAATTGACAACTGTTTGTCCTAAAGACGGCTTCTCATTCCTTTTCTCTGATTCTAGTTTAAATTCCCCATCCAGCAGTTGATTATCAACCTCGTCGTGTCTGGGCTCCAATGGATGGCGTCGTTTCCTTTCAATTCTAATTTGACCTTGATGTTTGGTAGTGTGGTGGCGTTTGGTAAAGGTACAGCGGAGATCAATTGGTTATAGCTGTTGATGTTTTGGTAGGCGATCTGGCTGTCTAGTTGGAATCGGGAAGGAGTGGGGATCTGTGTGATGAATATCTTGGCTGTTGAGAAAACTGCTCTAGCCACCGCGGGCAGATCTAGTATCTGCTCATGTATCCTTGGTCCAACTTCCTCCCTGTTGTTGAGTCCGACGTGTATAACCATTTCCTCGTGTTCAGGTCCCATCTATTTCTGTAGGGTATGTTTGATGTGGCAGATCTTGGCTCCAGAATAGCTATGGATCTCCCAGCCTCCGACAAAGAATACTTCTCATCTTTACCTTTGTAGCTGTATGGTCTCTACGTTGAAAGTCTAATTGATCGTCTCCAGCTGGTAGAAGGCTTGGAAGTGGTTTCAAGGATAGGAATGGTGGGCGATCTAGGGGACAGACAGTCAATGAGAACGTTCAGTGAAGATATGGAACCCGAGGACGGAGGTGAGCTAGACAAAACCTGGGGCGGACTGGTTGGCCTAGCTGCACGTCTCGGGGGTGTGTTAAAGTTGCAATTGCAAATTTTCAAGTTATATTTTTAAAATGTATTAAAATAAAGCCTTAAAATAGATGGTATCCATAAACAGTCCTACCTTGTTAAAGAATAATCATATTAATCCTATAATTCGCTATTGCCAGCTGAGGAATTGGCAAAAATATCATTTTTAACTTCAAATTCCAACGTTGGAAAATGGCTGCCCCATGTTGTCAATAGCAAAACAGGGGAGGTAATTGTGTTGTTATTTCCTGTGTCATAGATTTTTAAGGGTGGGAAATAATGCCCATGATCGTATAATAGTGATTTAATAACCTATTGAGCAAAAGACATAGAAATAATTATGTTTTGACTTTCTTAGAAAATTTGAAATTCTCGCTTTAATGTATGTGTCTTCTCCAGGTGACAATGTTCTCTTGTGTGTTTCGTTTTGGTGTGTCCTGGAGAGAAGGTTGTGTGTGATTTGCATGGGTGAGGGAGGAGGGGTGACAGCTTTAGGAAGAGTGGACAGGGGGCGGTGGTACTCTGTCTTTGCCTTCACACTATCCTGAAGTCGCTTGTCGTAAGAATTCTTGGCCCCATGCTAGGGCGTGGCTAGAGTACTCTTGTACAGCGTCTTTGGTAAAGTTTTTAAAAATTTTAAAATGTATCTCCAGACCGAACTTTTTAATCATATATACAACTGATTCAATACGGTTCTAGCTGTCTTTGGGTAAAACGTTTATCACGTGTACTAAATCATGTTCTCTGTGTTTTTAACTATCATGTCTTTTTATACGTCCACATTATGAATATTGCCGTCGTTCCTGTCTGTGTGTATGTATGTATGTGAGAGAGAAATGGGGTTTAACGTCCACTTGACACAAACTAGGTCATTTAGGGACTAGCATATGGCTCAATTTTATTTCAATAATTCACTTGCGCGTAGGGGTCTTTAACAGTCGGAGGAAACCGGTGGACCCGAGAAAAAACCCGCGAGGTTGGACACGCGACCCTACTCCTTGTCATGTAGAACCGGGCAATCGAAACCACGCCATTTGAATCAATGACTGACTTTATGATACAACGCGCACGCGCTAACCTTTCTGCCATCCAACCTCTCTATGTATGTGAGTGTGTGTCTATGTGTCGTCTACAGGCCGCAATTCCTAACTGATCGTCTTAAAACTTTAAATACTTATTCCTTATACCCTAAGGACGATCTCTTTTGTTTTTGGTGCATGCCCGACCCCCAGGGGCAGAGCCACGACCATTTATTTTGTATTTGTTTGTTTGCCGTCTACAGGCCGCATTTCTTAACGGATCCACTTGAAACTTTGCATACTTCTTCCTTATAGCCTAAGGATCATCAAGGGGCAGATTTACGCCCATTTTCTTTCTGTGTGTCTGTGTGTTGCCTACATGCCGCAATTCTTAATCGATCGTCTTGAAAACTTTTCATACTTATCTCTTATACCCAAAGGATGACCTCTATTATTCTTGATGCATGCCCAACCCCCTTGGACAGAGCCGTCGCAATTCTGACCATACTTATTCCTTATACCCTAAGGATGATCCCTATTGTTTTTTTGTGAATCCCCCCCCCCCCACACACTCTAGGGCAGAGCCTTATCCATCTTATCCATATTTCTTTGTGTGTCTATGTGCTGCCTACAGGCCACAATTCTTAATGGAGAGTCTTGGAACTTGGCGTTTATATTCCTTATCGCCTAAGGGCGGTAACTATTGATTTTGGTGCATGTGTCGACTCCCAGGGGAAGAGCCACGCCCAATGTTTGTGTTTATCGTATACAGGCCAATTCTGAATGGATCATCTTGGAACTTAGCATAATTATTTCCTTTACCGTAAAGACAGAAACTATTATTTTGGTGCATGTCCCAACACCCAGGGTTTGTGTCACACTTTTTTTTTATTAATTTTTTGTCTGTAAATACAGATTTTGTTCAAATTCAGCATATCAATCATTTCAATAACAAGGTTGTACCTATTAATATTGTTCCATCTCCAATCCCCAGGGGCAGAGCCACGCCCAATTTTTGTGTTTATCGTCTGCAGGCTGCAATTCTGAATGGATCATCTTGGAACTTGGCATATTTATTCCTTATACCGTCAAAACAGTAACTATTTATTTTGGTACATGCACCGATCCCACGTTTTTGTTAATAATTAGTCTGTAAATTTTGGCAAAACAAACACAACACATAGCCTTCTTTGCCTCTTGTCATTTTACAGTCGTTGGAGCCATTTCATACTTCATTCTCTTCATTTTAAAACATACCATATCAATCAAAGCATGAACGTGGACGTGTATTGCAACGGTAGTGTTTGCTCTTGTTTATGGATTAATGTTTGATCATTGTTGTGCTTTTTTTGCTTTTTTTTAAAGGTTGTACTTGTGTAAGTTGAATTGTCGGCGCTATATATATTAATTATTATTAATGCGGATGTCGACATAGTAAAGGCCGCTACTGAAGTGGTAGAGTTGCATTCCACGATGTTGATATTGGGGAGGACACAGATCTTCTGATACTGCTGCTATATAATGTAAACACCCGTGCAAAAAGACTTTATTTTCGTTCCGACAAACAGGGCGCCAAATAAGTGTATGATATAGACTGTCTCTAAAAACTTCTAGGATCTAGAGTATGTTCCCAAATCTTGTTTCTTCGTGCGTTTACCAGCTATGATAGCACATCCAGGACCCGTAGCATTGAAAATGAAAATCAATGTTCCAAAAGCTTATTAAAGGAGATCCTGTAATAATAACAGTATAAGCAATATAGATCGTTTATGTCTTTCTGTGATCGCCATCTTGTAGTTGGGAATGATCATGATGCCCTAGAAGCATCTTCCTCTCGTCCTCAAAGGAACTGTTTTCATAAACTATCATGATAATATTTTACAGAAAAACATGGGGTAATAGTACAGCATAAACATACCGTATTGCGTCATTGTAATGTTGGGAGTAAGTTTTATGCTCTAAAGACCTTTCAATGTCATGTTCCGATAATCTCAAAATACATTTATAGGGATTAAAGCCAAAAATTTAAAATATTTTAAAACATAGATGTGCCGGTCGTCAAGAGTTGACCTTATATGTCATTTTGATATCACATAAAACATATTATAAGGTCTTAAACCAACCGTTTAGGATTTTCTTGTATATTGATTAGGCGAATGTCGGCCTTCTTGGATTTTACCAATTTCTACCGCTTTCCGATCAGCGAAATTTGATAAACTTTTGGGATATTACACAAATGCAAAAAAAACCCTTTTTCTTGCAATCTTTGCGGAGTAAAATCATAAATTCACTGGTCTATAATTCCAAAGAATAGAGATTTGGTTCCTATTTACACAAATTATTATGACCTCAAACATCATTGTTTAAGATAAGTCATCTGTAACCTACGCGTATGTTGAAGTAAAGTGAAGTTAGTGTGGTTTTTAAGTTGATGGAGTATAATTGTTCTTTACAGTGAATCTGATCATTATTAATGGATGTATGTCTTTTGTTTTCAGCTGTTTTTGTGTCATTAAGATCAATTATTATGGTCGAATTGATGGGGTTAGAGAAACTCACAAGTGCGTTTGGCCTGGTAATAATGTGTCAAGGTCTTTCTTCATTTATCGGTGCTCCGATAGCTGGTTAGTATTGGTCGAAATTTTTTCATTTCACAAGAATTTCACACAGACGACTTGGATATTAAGTTATGTTTTCATTGTTGTTAATCTTTGTATACGCCTACCTTAAAATGTGGTCGCATACTGTCGTAGCTCCTGTCCGCCCGTCGTCCATTATTGCTTGTGGGTGCTCTATAGGCTTACATTATCATCCGATTGACTTACAATTTTCACAAAGTACTTTTGATATGATCATGAGTCAACGAAGTCTTGAAATTCATGAGACAAAACAATTTTCATTGATTTCCAATAATTGCTGTTTGGTGGCCCTTGATCACGCTGAAAAATGATGTGGACGCTCTAGATGCTAAAGGTATTATCTCATTTACTTGACATTTCAACGCAGTTTGCATGTTTATGGTCCGATGATACTATTAAGATCTTGTGGGCCCGTTTGTGGTTAAATTGATTATCTGGTTGATAAGAAATTTATACACAGTCTATGAGCATGAGACCAAGAATCCTATTGATTTTCAACAATTAACGATAACCCTAACAGCTAAGGTTACCATCTGATGACGGATACTTGCTTTGTGTAATAAATGTTAGCACTAGGAAGAACTAGAGGCCAAATCAAGTGTTGATTATTGATTGTAATTACTCTTAATCCGTTTCCATTAACCATAAAAGATATGCTATATCCTTTGTGAACTCCTCAGACGTTTTGTTGTCAGGCCACCTATCATTTAAAATCGAAAACGAAATGTGATAAGTGATTATAATTGGATATTGATGGAGGTTTATCCCAAATGTATTGATTTTATATATTTACTTGTTGTTTTATGTTTGTTAAAAGGTGCAATATCCGACTCTACAGGCAATTACGATGCGGCATTTTATATGGCGGGATCTGTCCTTGCCATGGCTGGAATTATATGTCTACCACTTCGTAGAATTGCTTCATGGGAAGATGAGAAAAAGTACAGTGAAGGTGAAATTACACCCATGATATCAAATGCCGAGATAAAAACCAGTTTGAATGATTAAAACATTTTACTTTTTATTACGAATGAATTTTGTAAATTTGTAAACATAAATGTAATACGAATTCTCAGAATTATATTTTATATTATATTCTATATTATACTTCCATTCATTTATAACCCCTTGGCGTCCCTCTATATTTTTGTTATTATTATTTTCTGTGTGCACAGTTGGAACAGTAGGCTAAAGCCTAGCTTATGTCACCCAACGACGCGATAAAACTGACGGCGACTCATAGCAACTAACAGCTGATGTCGCTACAACTGAATTTATCCACGACTGGACACAACCACGAAGCAATCAATTAATCATAGTCGTAAGCGCCTTCATGTCGCCTGGTGTCAATTGCAGAATCGGGGCCACAGCTGATCACATTACTGACACGTGATAACCTTCAAAATGGCCTCATTGCACTTGTCAGCCATGTTTGTTACCGCCCCCTGGGTACCACGCGACTAAATAACCGAAACGTATTGGCTACCTCAGCGAGGCGCCGACTCAAGGTAGTCGTAGGTGCGCTCAATACGTTAGTTCATTAAGAGGTTTATAGAAATATATATTAAAGCACATAAAAGAAAAATTATTTAGTTTCATTTGGTTTTGTTCGTAAAAAGAGATCGATCTGGGCTTGTTCTGTGCTATCTAACAAATCCGAAGTCGACCTGATTTGCAGTAATTATGAAGCACTGCACATCTAGACAATGCGGGAAATAACAAAATTCTTACATAGAGACATGGATATAATATACACTATCGTCATCCCCGATTTAACACACCAAATTTATCAAATCAATGGGTTTTCTAATATCGGCCATTATTTGCGAAGAGACTACGATCTCAAACATCATTTGGATTAAAGTCTAAGGGTTAGAACAGAAAACTTTAAATACAGCGTCAAATTCTTTTGATGTTGACTGAAAACAGAGGATTAAAAATTAGGGTGGAGAGTATCATGCCCTGCCCATCACAGACAGGAAAATAAATTTAAAAAAAGATTTGCCATGCAGATATGAAAGATTTCATATTTATCGTCACTTCCGATGAATTAATGAAGAATTTTGTCAAAAATCTTAAAGCAAAAGGAATTATTAAACATGCATTATGCAAGAGCTAAATCTGCCTATTGCAGGTCTTTCTTGAGGCCTGAAATGTTTTCTAAAGTATTAATTAGACATTAATTAACTGATCCAGGCCTTAATCAACTCTCGATGGCATCAGATTTCTCCGATATTAAATAGATTAGAATGGTTCAGCGATACTTTGATTTAATCAAATATGGAGGATCGAGACTTAGCTTCGATCAACCAGTACGGTGGTTGAAATTATTGCACACGTCTGTCAAACCTTCAAAGGCTAAGATCTTCGCTTGCAATAGAGTAATTTGAATGAAATTTTCAAATTATCCATTTTACATCATCTACTTTCGAACTATTATAGCAAGAATGGCTAGTTCTTTATCTAAATCTTACATAATGTATCTTTAATTAAACTCCGTCAAAAATTTGAAAATTTACTTTTAGAAAAACATTCAACCGGCTCGAGACACTTACATGGGAGATAATTAATACAAATTTTGACGCTGCTTACACGATGTGTCTCCCTTGCAACGTCCGAGAAAATTAAGTTTTTTTAAAAACACACTCCGGGAAATAAAGAAATATACGTTATTATACTGGTCTTAAAGAAAATAAAAAAATGATTAAAATCGGTCAGACATTCGATAAGTTGCACCTAGAATAAAGTAAACCGAAACCTTGATGTTTCAGCGCAGATAATTTATGAGATTACACAAGGCGGGGGTGGGGGTACCATTGTTTTGATCAGGTGAAATCGCTTCACGATAAGATAACAGCGTAAAGACAAGAAGGCAAGAAATAATAAATGCGAATAACAGATTTTGTTCACACGGACTTGAATATTCATTTCAAATGGAGGATGGGGCCTATTGATTTATTGATTTTGGTTTTTTTTGACCCCCACGGTTGCCATATTACAGTCATTGCTACCATTTCGTATTTCATTATCTTCATTTTATGGCCAAGTAAAGCGACACAATTTTGTCACAGCACCTGAAAAGATGAAACAATATTTCAAAACCCCAGAATAATGTCCCTTCGATAAAAAGACGTTGGCTAGCTAACCTGGAGGTCCCGTGTTCGATCCCTGAAAGTTTAACGGGATTTTCCGGCGTGGTTCCCCCTTTGTCAGTGGTGCCGGACAATAGGTCTGACAAGGGACAACGTATAGTCGTTCGGATGGTACCAAAAACCGAGGTCCCGTGTACATATTGTCGTGCACATAAAATATCCTTGGGAGGTGGAATTCGATATAGTAGTAGGCCAAACAGCACACTGCATGGCATATGCCCGTCTTCGTTAACCCAGTCGGAGCAGAACTGTTGGACTTTAAACCCCATTTCATTTTATTACTGCCGGTGTCCCTTTAAACTCATCTTGCGATCACTTGGGTGTAAATTCATGGTGATAATTTTACAAAATGTCTACCATACGCGGCTACACCTACGAGAATTATTTGAACTTTTTGAGTGACAATACTTCTAACGCTAATCCAGGGACCCTCGGTTGACGTTTCACTAAAGAACGAAAAATCGCCAATATCCTGATGCAATAGAAATCAAGTGAAATAAATTATTTACATATAATTGTAAGACTAACCAATGAATTTCTGTTTTCATCAGTGATTAGATTCAAACATCCACTAACAATCTAAACGACCATCATCTTTTACGGGCATTACTCCGCGTTCGAGTATTTATGTCAAGTTTATAATTTGCTATTTTATGTGACATATTATGTAACACTTATCAGTAAAAATTAATTCAGTATTTTTTATAAATTGTTATGACATGTAATTGGTCATGACGTCTACTATTGCGATTTGCCGCAGAGCATTCGGTAGGTGTGATTCGGTCTCCAAATGTCAACAATTTCGAAGTTGGCCAGAATTAGCTAATCTCTGACCGAATGCGTATGAAATTGTTTCATATCAAAAATAACAAAATGTTGTCAAATTGTGACAATTCAGTCAAATTAGCTGTTTGATGTATCCCCCATCATGAGAAGAATTCAATAGCCAAGTAGTGTACCATACATCTGCGGTTAAAGTAGTCCATGAAACAAAATTGCTTATTGTTTACAAAATATTGGAAAAACTGGGAAAACCTATAACTCAATTGTGATAATATTTCTTGGCGGGTGGATTTTGTTTATCTGGACATCTTTTAGGCCAGTTTGATTTTCTTGTGTTTTGATTCGTAAAGCTTGCTCCAGCCACAGTAGTGGGACGTCCTAAGGCCTTCATTTGAGCAAGTTTTGTAGTCATTTGACTACAAAAAAGTTACTGGCCTATAACTCCCTTAATTTCTAATAACACTGACGACTCCAAACTGTACTATATATAACTTAACATATAATAAACGGATTCCCATTTAAATAAAGGCGAACCTTACCGCATAATTATATGATTATATATTATATAAACCCAACTGCTATGCGAAATCTTTTTTCATTTTAAAATAGCGGCCGGAATAAGTATCGCATGATTTTATGTCATTCGAAAATACAGAAAAAAAACTGTTCGGTAAGATAAGATTAAGATTTCAGTGTTCCGCTCTTCACTATTTGTAACATAATTACTTAATTCCATGCATACTGTGATGATATGTGTTAAAAATTTTGCAATTGAACATAATTTTACTTGCCCAAAGCCTCGAATAGTGTATCAATTGTAGCCGTAAATAAGAATGATCACGGCTACAACTATTGCAGCTATGCAGTCTTGCTTCATTATTTCCTAAATATTTTATTTCAGTCATTTATTGGGATTTTCATCTATTGTTTTAATTGCTCTCTGTCATCTCGGGCACATAGAGTTAATAGAATATCGACACCAAATGTTTATTGCTCTGTGTCATCTCGGGCACATAGAGATAATAGAATATCGACACCAAAGCTGTTGCAAATGCCTTTTTAATACCCACCCCACCCCCATGGTGTCCATAATAAACTACAATTAGAAACAAAGCAGAAATGTGGACGTATCATGCCCTTGCTGTTTATGCTGTACATAGATTGTGGTCAGCTTTCACAGGGGGATTAGGTGCTAAGGAGGGAATGGGCATATTAAGCCTTGATAGAATGTGTTCCTGTTTTTCAGTGTCTCGGTTTGGTTAGGCTCCTTGCGCATGGGACTCATCAGTTACGTATGTTTTGTTGCCTGTTTTTCAAAACGTTATAGCGCCGCGTCATGTAGCTAACAGCTTTGATTTTTGTATCATGAGTACACAACTTTTCTTTCTTTTATAAATGGTTATATTACAGTAAATTCAATATTCACAAGTTTGAAGCACCTTTACGTAATGATCGTAAATAAACACCGTCCTGTATCATACTCGTATCTTTATTGATCCACTCTCTACTACCCCGAATAACCCACATGGATCTATACGTCACGACACACATCTGCGCGTGCCATACGTATTGTTTTGTCGTCTGCTGCTCCAAGTCAGATGTTTTGAATCACGCTATACATCCACACCAAATAGAGTTAGCTATTTAAATCTGGAGAAAACACCATTTTAATTTATCTTATATATAAACGCAATTGACGTTTATTTGTGTGCAGAATACCTTTTCGATGTATATTAAGGTAAGTGTCTCTTTTGGTAAGGTCTACAAATCAAAATGTTTCTGGAATATACTTGACATTTCCAGCACGGTATAGCCATCGTCTTGCACTATTGCCTTTTATAAACCATATACATGCATAGGAAGAATCAACCAAAGACGGTATAAAGCATATATAGCACGTCTTTTCTAACTCGGCAGTAAAATCATTATTTCTGATTGAAAATAACCAGTGTCCACCATATCTATAATCTACATTAATAACAGCTTATCTTCATATATAAATATTAATTATCGATTTTAGCTTTAATCGTAGCAGGTAGGTTTGTGTTTATATTTATGTACAGTAATCATAGCTGTACGTAGGTCATTATTAATGGACCACTCACAAGTAAACTACACATTGTATATAATATTTTGGTGTTGTTTTGTCTTTTCCCTAATAAACACGTCCAGCATGAATAAATCTATACATACACAATGACTCCATGTATAAAAAACAACTAAACCCATAAATAATGAATTATTTAGTCTCGGTCACAGATACATCATAGAAATGAATGGATATGGCTATGTAAATGGGTCTTTGTTAAACAAGACGCAAATTAAATTGAAAGCGGTGACTTTTTCCTGTGCTGACTGGATCTTGTTTTAAACCAGTAAGAGCAGTAAGAACCAGATTTTGGCGGATAACTTGTATGAAATAATCGAAATAATATGGGCTATTTTTACGTGTGTTACAATACTATATCTTTGAAGTGTGCTGAATAAGCCTACTTATCAGTTTTGGTATTGATACGGTCATCGACATTTACAACAAGGTCAAATTATAAACCAATATGGCTAGAAAATGAGTTTTATGTAAAGTGAGTTCTGATTGACTTGGTCAAAATGGATGTTATGATCCGTACGCCAATTATTAACACTGGAGGACAGTGAACTGTTTATTCCTATGATTAATAGCTCTCAACGATTGTACATTCTATAATATTATACATCTGTTCCTTTTTATACGCCCGCATTGAAATGTGGTCGCATATTGTCGTCACCCCCGTCCGTCCGTCCGTCCGTCCACGATTGGCTGTGGACGTTCAAGAGGCTAAAGTTAATATCCGATTGATTTTAAAGTTATCATCATAGGCGTACGAGCTCGATAAATGTTAGGGATGCAGAATCTAAAATGACCGAAAAACAAAAAATCGGGCTACCGACGGCGGCGCCCGTCGTCTGCGAGAGGCGAAGGGGCGGAGCTTGCCGTGTACCCCCACCCCTCTCTCTCCCAAACGCGACGGCGGCGCCCGTCGTCTGCGAGAGGCGAAGGGGCGGAGCTTGCCGTGTACCCCCACCCCTCTCTCTCCCAAACGCGTTGTCCTGCAGATTCTAGTCCGTAAATACAGCAACTTCCAAGTTGTCTAATATAGCCTAAGTTAGGTGGCTGATTTTGAGAAAATTTTGAAATTGAAGTGCCGCAAACGCATTTCCTGCTATTGCAGGCTTTAAATACAGCCCAGTTTAGGTGGCTGACCCGAATCCTAAACAATCAATCGTCGCGGGGTATTGGGGGTGGAATAGCAGTAACTTCAAAGTTTCTAATCGTTTTGCAACCGAAATCCCGATTTGAATTCCAACCACCGAATCTGCTAAATTCACAAATAATAATTGATGCCCGAAAAATGTCCAGTGGAAAAGTGGTCCAGACAAAATGTTTTAATCCATGGTCAATTTAGTACAAATTCGTTGTATTCAATTAAAAGAAAAGTAAAATTAGTGTTTTAATAGATATCAGACACTTTATTTTTTCTCACCTTACCCATCTGCCCGAAAAGTCAGGTAAATTCAGATTGCCCCCTCTGCCCCCCCCCCCCGGGGATCGTACGCCTATGGTTATCTTCCCATTGATTTGAAATTGATATACAGTGTTACAGTGTTTACATTAATGAGACATTTTTTTATAGCCTCACATGGAGCGTTGAGAGGTTGGTTAGGTTGAAATGTAGGGCGGAAAATTGCATGTTTAGTAGTCTTTACTTCTAGTTTGTGTATCTTATGTTTTCTATGGCAAAAGGTTGCCACAGGTTGCTCCATCTGGTAGAAAGCGATATACCCAACGAAAATTTGTGAAAAAGTTGGAGCCGGTCTAAGAGACGAGAATTAAAGGGAAAGACCAACGATTTTCAACAAGGTTTCCATAAATCTTAAATATATATTCGTATATAATCCCTTCTATTAAACAAGCAAATATGTTTTTTGTAAGCGGAAGTGATGTAGTTGGTTCAAAACGTTCACTGGTCTCTGTGGTAAGCACACGTTTACTGCTGTATTTTGTTCATGTATCGTCCTTTGGCCAAAAAACTGATAAAATGGGCTGTTTATTAGGATATTATAAACACGAATTTATGCTTTTTTAACGTTTAGTACACAAAGCCGTCGCGTTAATTTAATCATACCGAACAGTAGGCTGTGGCACAATTCAGGCTCCATGGCTAATTGTTTACTTACATCACGTGGTTTGTTTGACAGCTTGCAAGTGACATTTATTTCGCCTGCTTCGATGTTTTTGTGCTTGCTGACTGTGTTTTTTCAACATTAACAGTAACAGACCAAAATTATGGGCACGTGAGACATATAATATAGTGCATTTTGGCACATAATGTCGACGTGAACGGCTTTTCCTTTTTTTCTTCCATTTCCTCTTGAGAATGACAGGGCTCAAATCTGTACAGCATTACTGTAGACCTATAGAAGCTATACGTTGATGTCTGACGTTTACATACTTTGGAAATTTATATATTTATGTGCATATAGGTTCCAAAAGTCCGTTGAAATGTTGAAATAAATTCAAACACTGTTTGCAGACTCAGCACGCACAAAAACATTCAAGCTGACGAAATATCTCTCACTTGCCGGGTGTCAAACAAACCACTTGATGTAAACAATTAGCCCTGTGTTGTGAATTGGTTCACAGCTTACTGTATGAAATTTATATGCGTCATTTAAATTAGTGAAAACAAGAATCTTATTAAATTTTTAGCTATTTCCGTTAATTACATGTTATGGCCCTCGTTTCACTTTATTGAACATTGTGAACGCTTAAAACGCTAAAAGTTATCGTCCGATCTTTGTGAAATTTATATGCATTATTTAAATTAGTGAAGAAGCTTATTGAATTTCAGCAATTTCCGTTAATTATTTCGAGAGTTATGGCCCTTGTTTCACTTGTTGCACCTCGTGAACGCTCTAACATCAAAAGTTATATGCCGATCTGTATGTAATTTATATATGCATCATTTAAATTAGTAAAAAGAAGAGTCCTGTTGAATGTCAGCAATTTTTGTATATTACGCCTAGAGTCATGACCCTTGTTTCACTTTGTTGCACCATGTGAACTTTCTAACGCCAAAAGTTATCATCCGATCTTTGTGAAATTTATATGCTTTATTTAGATTAGTGAAACGAATAAACCTATTGAATTTCAGCCATTTTCGTTTATTACGTCTAGAGTTATTTCTAACATCAAAAATTATCATCCGATCTGTATGAAATTTATATGCATCATTTAGATTCGTGACACGACGAAGCCTATTTAATTTCAGCAATTTCCGTCAATTACTTCTAGATTGATGGCTCTTGTTTGATTTGTGAACCCTGTGAACGTTCGAATAACAAGTTATCATCCGATCTGTATGAAATTTAAAAATTTAAATGCATTATTAAAATTTAAAAAAGGAAAAAGTCTGTCAAACTTCAACAATTTCTGTAAATAAATTACTTCCAGAGTTAAGGCCCTTGTTTCAGTTTGTCGAACCTTGTAAACCCTCAAACAATGAAAATTATAATCTGATCTGTATGAAATTGTCTTGTAAATGCCCCCAATTACCTACAAAAGAATAAATATGCGTCAATCCTTATCGACAGAGGGACAATTTAGCTGACGTGGGCGTATGTTTCGTTTTCTGGCAACCTATCTTTTTCTAGATTTGAGCTTTGCGAAGTTTGTAATGATGACTTCAAGGTCTATGCCCTGGTCAAGTCTTAGTCAAATGCAACTGCGATAAGTCACATTTAACGTCTCTTGTCCGACAGTTGAACGAAGCTGGTTCTTCACACGTTTGAGCACAGAAAAGGGTCGTTCACCTTCTTTGTTGGCTACCGATAATGTCAAATAAATCCGCAAAGCAATGTCCACATTAGGAAAAGAGTCTGCAATCCCATCCGCCTTGATGACACTCCTGTACTGTAAATTCTACTTAAACATACATTATGCAAGAGGTAAATCTGCCTATTGCAGGTCTTTCTGTAGGCCTGAAATGTTATTTAAACTATTAATTACACATTTATTAGCAAAATTAGACCATAATCAACTCCCGATGGCATCGGATACTCGCGATTTTAACTAGATTAGAACGGTTCGCCATTTAAAAATTTAATTTAAAAATGGGAAAGCGAGGCTATGTCGCGAATATACCAGTGCGCTAGTAACCACTATGCACACATCTTGTCAAAACAATAAACAGTGATAATTTGGCTCAAAATTAAGTAACTTACCTGAAATTTTCAATATTTTCTTTTTTTGTCTTTCTTTTTTCTTTATTATAGCAAGAATGACCAACTCTTTATTAAACTCTTAACTAAAGTATCTTTAATAAAAGAAACACGGCAAAGTATAGGTCTATTTAACCTTCCATACTATATATAAAAGTTTCACTAAGTTTCACTTTATTTACCACGAAAACCCATAAAATAACTAATAAGCAGTTTCAATCTTTCTCTCGACCCGTTTCTTATACCAGGGCCCAACTGTACCAGCAGATTAATGAGAGGGTGCATTGAACGAAGCGAGAGTTTAAGGAAACAGAATGATTACGTGTTGCCCTGGGCCATGGCCTAGCTAGCCTGTGCCATGGAAATCCTAGATCCGTATCAGATTTGGTCAACATCCAACTTTTTGGAGAAGCTGCATTCCAACGATAGCTGCTGTGTGAGCGTATTAAAAGGCGCGGGTTGGGGGGGGGGGGGGGTATA